GGTCAAGATGGTAGGAGGGGTCGAGCGATGGGCGCGGCCAGAGCATGTGTTTGGTCCCTTGTGGCAGACAGGATCCGACAACGCCCCTCGTCATCGTGGTTCTTGCCAAGGCCCCTCCCTGCATGCAACCTCTCAACCGCTCTACAAAGAGCGGCAGCCTGAGGATGGGAGATGACCTGGCCTCCCCCCCATCCCCCCCCCCCCTCCCCCCGCTCAGCACCTTCCACGTCGTCCAGATTCAAACGATCTCCCACCAGCCGCTCGATGAGCGACACGCGCGCCGCCTCGTCGCCGCCGACCCGCGCCGCCACCGGGCGCGACGGCGCCAGCCCCTCGCTCTCCTCCGCCGAATCCGGCGCGTGGCGACCGGGCCAGGCCCGGCTCTCGCTCTCCAGGTCGCTGGCGTCGCTGTCCAGCGCGGCGGCCGCCGCCGTGCGCCGCCGTGACGGCGGCCGTGCGGGCGGCGCCGCCGCCGGCGAGACGGCCGGCGGCGCGGAGGCGGTCGGCTGGGGCGGGGAGTGCTGGCCGGCGCCGATCCCAGCGATGACGGGCGGCTGGGTCCGGGTGGAAAGCGCGTTCGACCCCGGCGCCGCGCGTGCCGGCGCGGCCACCAGCTCCACGGGCCGGTGCCGGCCGTGGTTCTTGTAGTAGATGCCGCAGGCGTTGCACATCAGCATGTTGGCCTGGCGGTCCTTGCGCCACAGCGGCGTGGTCTGTGTGGAGTGGATGCAATGGGTCGTGTGCGGAGGACTTCCAGGGGGCTCGATGGGCCTGAGAAGGCGGGCCACCCACACCCTCGCAGCACCCTCCTGCATGGCCAAGAAATCACCGCGCAGGATGGAGTCAGGTCGTCCCGCACGTGCAGTGACCCACCAGCCCACCCACCCCGTCCACCCACCGTGGTCCCGCAGTTCTCGCAGGTCTTGACCCCCGGCGAGGCGGCCCCCGGCGAGCGCAGCGGCGAGGCCGCCGGCGTGGCGTGCGCGCTGCCGGGCCTGGGCGCCGGGGACGTGCCGCGCCGCCCCGCCCCTGCCCGCCGCTGCGGCGGCGTCGGCACCGTGCCCGGGGGCGGGAGCAGGGCTGGGTCGGCCTGCAGCGCAGCCAGCACGGCGCGCATGCCGTCCAGCGGCACGCCGCCCGCGGCGCCGGCGGCGGGCGGGTAGAATAGCCCCGAGGCGGCGTCGTGGGCCCAGCCCGCGCCCTCCAGCTGCGGCCAGACGCTGTCCCAGAACACGGCCTTGAGCGGCAAGCTCGTGGCCACCAGGCTGTCCACCGCGCGCGGGCTGAGCAGAAAGCCCGGGTCGCCGGGGTCCTCGGCCGCCACGCCTGCGGCCTCCACGCCTCGCACAAACGCATCGCGCCCCGTCAGCGCCACCACCGCGGGGACGAAGACCTGCAGGGGCAGCGCGCGCCGGCCGTAGTCGTCGGCCGCGTGCTTGAGCATGCTCTGCCCCGCCGCGTCCAGGCGCCCCGCTGATTCATGTTCGAGGAGGAGGGGTTAATGTGACCAAGGAGAACATTACTTTCATCGAGCAGCCTAGACGTGCATGCATGCGAGGGCTGGGTGCAGGCTCTCAGAAGGCCCAGGAGTGCCCAAGGAGAGCAGCCACAGGGATGGGCCTCCTGCCCCATACACATCCTGCAGGGCGAGCGTGTGACGGACTCCAGACATCCGTGGGTCATCCAGCCCCGCTCTCTCCTCACCGGCCGCGAGGGTGGGGAGGATGGCGGTGACCAGCTTGCGCCCACGCAGCAGCTCATCGCCGGTGTGCCCGCTGCGGTATAGCTGCCTGTACCGCTTCCCCACCACGCTGTGCTTGAACACCTTGTAGTAAAAGACCACGCATTCGGCCTCCTGCGATGATGGGAAGGGAGAGGGGCCGCGGGGTGACGGGTTGGCGGCGGCTCCGCCAGCTGCTGGGTCCCTAATTTCTGGGAAGTGATCACGCAATCCGGGGGACCCCCCCGGGGGAAGGGGTGTCGTGAGACGCGCAACGTCCTCGCGAGCAGGTTCTCCAGGCCCTCACCGAGCGTTGGACCAGCTTGGAAACCGCCCTAAAATCTCGATCAAACAGTTTCATGGCCAGGTTGAAGGCCGCGACGTCTGCTGCGCTGAAGGTGGGTAGTGGGTGCCAGTCGGAGGTCGCCAGGGCCTCGGCCCAGAAACTAGGGGGGATGGGGCCATCGGGGGCCCCAGGACCCGGCAGCTCCTCGATTTGGTACTGGGGCCCCAACCGCACGTCCGTGGAGGCCTCATCGGCGTGCAGCAAGGCGAAGACGTCGGAGCGCCAGAGGGAGCCCCTGGGGCTAAGCAGCCCATCTGGCTCGTCCATGGCTTGCAGGCCGTCGAGCGTGCGAATGGGAGCAGAAACAAATGCAGCGATGCAGGGATGGCGCTCAGGGGTGGGATCCGGGTTGATGAGGAGAGGCCGTGATGGGAGCCTGCTCCGGCAAGCCCTGAGGTGCGCACCAGGGTTTACCCGCCCGCAAAACCCCAGCGCGCCAGCGCCCCTCGGAATTTCTCTCGTACTCCCATGGCTCTGCAGCAGTCTCCCCAAGGTCGGTCATCGAGTTGGAATTTCAGGGGCGGGCTTGTGGTTTCCAAGCCTCGCGCAGGACAAGGGGGAAGGGAGGGGCGGGGAGGGTCACCCGCCGGCGTCTCGGACCAGGTACAGGGCTTGTGGGGCAGGGCAAGGGATCTTGTGGGACTGGCGGGGGATCTTGGGGCCAGGCAGGGATTCTTGGAGCCAGGCAGGGGTGTAGGGTGGTGCAATTGTGCGGGGCAATGGGGGTGCATGCGAGCCTCAAAGAACATGCAGGGTATGGGACGGCAGCCGGGGGGATGCCAGCGTCCGCAGCGCCTGAAGTCGCAGCCATTTCCTGTACGCCGCTCCCAATGGAGCGCCCGCGCCGCGCTGCCTCGACCCCACCTCCACATCGCGGCCCGGCCCGCCTCCTCCCCCGGCTCGCCGCCCGCCGTGCCCAGCCCTGCCGCTCAGGAGACGTGGCGGACCTGCACGGAGCGGTGCTGCTGGCTGGTGCGCTGGATGTCGGACACCACCACCACCAGGTCCTTGGCGGCCACCAGGTTGCGGCGCTTGAGCAGCTCAAAGGTGCGCGTCACGTTGGTCTCCGGATCGTCCTCGAAGCGGACGAGGAAAGGGATGACGCCCCAGCGCAGGTTCAGGCGCTGCCTCACCTCCTGGCTGTCGGTGAAGGCGAAGATGGGGCAGTCGGGGCGGTAGCGCGACAGCCAGGAGGCGTTGACGCCGCGGCGCGTGAACACGAAGATGGCGGCGGCGCCCAGGTTGTCGGCCATGGAGGCGGCCGAGGCGCAGACCTCCTCCCCGATGCGCGCGTCCAGGGACCCCGCGATGCGCGGCAGCGCAATGGCACCCGACCCCTCCTCCCGGCACCAGCCCTCGATGCGCGCGGCCACGATGCGCAGCACCTCCAGCGCCTTTTGCGGGAACAGCCCCGCCGCGGACTCGCCCGACAGCATCAGCGCGTCGGCGCGCTGGCGCACCACGTCGGCGATGTCGCTCACCTCGGCGCGCGTGGGCGTGGGCAGCTCGTGCATGGACTGGAGCAGGTGGGAGGCCACGATTACCGGCTTGCCCGCCTGCCGGCAGCGCAGGACCACCTCTTTCTGCACGGAGGGCACGTCCTCCAGGCGGATCTGGGCGCCCAGGTCGCCGCGCGCGACCATGACGCCGTCGGCCGCGTCCACGATTTCGGCCAGGTTGGGGATGGAGTCGGGGGACTCCACCTTGGCGATGACGTCGATGTCGCGCGCCGAACGGCTCTGGATGTAGGACTTGAGGTTGTTGATCACATCCGCCGACTTGACAAAGGACACCGCGATGAAGTCCACGCCCTGCTGCACCGCAAAGTCCACATCAACCCAGTCCTTGGCGGAGAGGACGGGGAGCATGGCGTTCTTGGCGCGCACGGGCCGGCCACCGCGGCGGAAGGTCAGGTTGGCGCGGGACAGCACCAGGCCGGGGTCCACCACGCGGCAGTACACATCGGGGCCGGCCTTGCCCTCCACCTCCAGGGACACCATGCCGCCGTCGATCACAATCTCGTCGCCCACCTGCAGGATTTTTTTTTTTGGGGGGGGGGGCAGGATTGGTATTGGTATCATGAAATTGCGATCGCTTGCCAGGGACTGCGCTCAGCACTCCAGGTCGCCACCAGCCTCCCACAGAGTCGACACCGCAAGGTCCTTCCCTCACCCTCACCTGCACGTCCTCGGCAAAGGCGTCGTAGGACACGGCGATGGCGGCGTCGTCGCCCAGGCTGGCGGCCGGGTCGCGCACGGTGAACACCAGCTCCTGCCCCGTCTCAGCCTTGAGCGGGGCGGCCATCTCCATGATGTGCACCTCGCTACCCTGCGTGTCCATCATGATGGCCACGGAGTAGCCCTTCTCCTTGTTCAGGGCGCGAATGTGGGAAATGATCTCCGCGTGCCAGGCGTGCGAGCCGTGGGACATGTTCAGCCGGGCCACGTTCATGCCGTTGCTGGCCATGGCGTCCAGCATCTCCTTGGACTCGCAGGCCGGGCCGATGGTGGCGATCAGCTTGGTGCGCCGTGTGGAGCGGAAGCCTGGTGCAGAAGCATGTTGGGTTGGGGGGTTGAGAACGTGCTGGGGCCGCTCGCTCATAGGGGGCCTGGAGTGCCCAGAGCAAGCGAGTCGGTGCTCCGGCTAGGCCGACCCATCCACACCCACTCGCCCCGATCCCTGCGCAGATGGGACTCCCGTACACACCACACATGCACACATCCCACCATTGCTGCTCAGCTCCTGCTCCAGCACGCTGTCGACCTCGATCTCGGGGGTGCGGGAGGTGGTCAGGGGGGTTGCGACGTCTGCCACTGCCACGCTGGAAGAGCCCGCCTTGCGGGGTTTCCGCCCGTTGCCCTTTGTGTTGGAGCTGGCAAACACGCGGGCGGGGTGCAGGCTGGAGCGGTGGCTGGCAGGCAGCGCGGCCGGTCGGGCCACCCCGGCACGGGCGAGGGCTGCCGACAGTGG